TTGTGATCGCTGTTTTCGGAATGTCTGCCGGTTCCACAGGGATCTGGTGAAATGCCCGCACAAGGTCAATTCTCGAAAAAACGGTTGCGTTGCTCAATCCCTGTGAGAAATCCTGGATGTGTGGTATTGGGTAGCGATCCGGCAGAGTATGAACGTTGAGAGCCCTGTAGTCTCCGCAAGGGCGCCATTCCCCTGGGGCTGTTTTCGGGACCATATGGAGAGGTGAAGCCCATGGACTGTTCGAAGGGCGGATTATTCCCGCCTCCTGTAGCTTATTGAATTCAGCACGTGCTACCGCCAGTCGTTCCGGTGCCAGGCGGCGTGGTCTGGCGAAGGTAGGTGCTCCCGTTGTGGTAATGTGATGCGTAATCGTATGTTGCACCTCTGGTCGAGGGCTAGCGGGTTGGGTCACATCTTTGAATTCATCCAGGAGTGCTTGAAGTTCCGTAGATGCGACTGGGGTGACGATGTTAACTTGTGGTGAGGTACTAGGAGAGGCTCGAAGTACTGCACCTGCGGGATCCACCATAAGTCGATGGTGTTGCAGGAAATCCCATCCAAGAATGGGTTGTTCCACATCCGCTATGAGGAAAGTCCACGTAAAGCGACCCAGAGAGGCGAACTCGAGAACCAGGGCGCGGGTCCCATATGTACGGACGGACGTACCATTGGCGGCTCGTAAGTCCAAACCAGGAGTACGGGTTGGTTTGACCAGTGGGGGAGGCAACACACTAGCTGCTGCACCTGTGTCAACGAGGAAACGGCGTTTGGTTATGACGTCAGATATGTAGAGCAGTGTAGTGTTTGAAATGGCGGGGTCACTGGCCGTTAACAGTCCCCGCCGAAGTAGTTTCCCGACCAGGAACAAGGAGCCCTACAGTTGCGGGCTTGGTGTCCGAACTTCTGGTGGTAAGAACAAAGTTCTCCACGACGTTCTCGCTGTCGCTTAGAGACTGATACTGGATTCGCATGGTACGTCTTCCCTGGGTGGAAAAAACGCCGGTTCTGGAGGACGTCGAGTTGTTGGGTGTCTGTAGTCTGCTGTGTATCACTGAGGTGGGACAGCGTAGCGTTATCAGACGTCGTATGAAGCCGGTCTGCCAGTGTAGCCAGTTGGGCTAATGGGGTGTCGTCAGCCATACTGAATAGGGCCGATTGAATGTGTTTTGGACAGAGTTGTATCCACAGTGATCTCACAATCTCGCTGGGGGCTGGACCAGTTGCAGTATGCATCACATACTGAATATGCCGCAGAAGCTGGGCTGGTGTTTTGTCTACTAACCTTTTGTCAGTGAGGAGTTGGTCCCTTTGTTGAATGCGGCGTTTCATTGCTGCCTGTAGAAGAGCGGCTTTCAATGCAGTGTACGTCCTGGTGTCCGGTGATGGCGCGGTGATGACAGCGGAGGCAGTGTGCATAGCCTCCGAGGTAAGTGTTGGCAGGGTACAGGCATATCGGGCTTTCTCAGTCGAAATTTCGTGAAGGTCGAAAATAGCCTCCATCTGCATGAACCAAAATTCTGGCTCATCTGCGTTGTATGCTGGAAACCTGGTAGATAAATCCATGGCGAAGATCTAGTTTGTGACTAGGTGTTCTTTGTCACTCACTGGGTCACCAATGTAACGGTTCTATTGTTACGTAAAGTATGGTGACAAATAAACACAGACACTAAGATACTATATATATATTTGGTCGAATATACAGAAGTACACAGGTGATACGTTGGTGTGAGTTGAGCGCACTGAGCGTTGGTACAGTATCTCGCAAGTGTCTGCTCTAGACCACACTTGAAAGTAGACTAGTTAATGTTCGCTACACCACTGCTTATATTGCTCGGGCATCTCACCGTGTTGCCCGGGCAACGCCTCACCTCATTCATCTCCAAAGGTTGACAGGAACATTAACACTATATTTGGAGCGAGTATATTATTGGGATAATCTACTCGCTACACAGATCTGAGGCAAAGTGAAATCGACACCAGTAATTCCATCTATCCTCATACTGTCATGCAAGAGGATCCACACATCTATGGTTCATCCACTAAAATCAGCTGACTTCTAGATGTTACTACGGCTCGGCTAAGACTCGGTTACAAGTATCTCCGGGAATTCTGATTATCTGCCGATGTAGACCTGACCAAATGTAAACTGTGTCAACAAAATTATTCGCACACTCTCCGTCACTATGTGATGGAGTGCGAAAAGATACGTGAATTCAGAGACAATTCCATAACCAATGTTCCAACGATGTGTAAATATTTCATTCAAAAAGATCTGCTACCAGAATTTGTAGCCAAATATCCTAAGTTTGCTAACTGTAGGTAGTAACTAAGTGATTGTAACCTATCCACCGCTGCCCACTGGATGGGGGGCGGTTTGCAGGACAAGCATATAAATTGTGACACTAGCTCTCCACATATGTCAGTTGCTTAATTTAGAAACTGTACTTGTGGTCGATCTCGAACCCGTTGATGATGTGACGACTTATACTGAATTTTGTAACTAGCTCATCAAGATTGTAACTTGCTTTGCTCCGGTTCGTACATGGTTGTGCTCCTGTTCGTACATGGTTGTGCTCCAGTGGTTGTTTGTGTACTAGTGCTCCAGGTTTGTTTGCTAGGGCTTTGTTTCTTTGCAAGGGCTTTATGTTTGTTTGCTAGAAATTTGGGTTTCTTTTTTGTGTATAGTTCAATTGTTTGATATGGCTCCATAGTGTGTTTCTAGGACAAGTGGAGGGTTTTAGGTAGCGCTAAGCAGATTTTTGTTTGGTCGAGCTAGGAATGGAGTTTGGTTGTGCTCTGGGACTGTTTAGCTTTATGGGGGTTGGATGAGATGTATACTTGCTAGGCTTACGGTTACACAACTGGTCGGGGTCTGGTTACACAACTGGTCAAGCTTCGGTTACACAACTGGTCGGGCTCCGGTTAAATAACTGGTCGGGCTCCGGTTAAATAACTGGTCGGGCTCCGGTTAAATAACTGGTCGGGCTCCGGTTAAATAACTGGTCGGGCTCCGGTGAAGTAACTGGTCGGGCTCCGGGGGTGTCACCTGAGTTTTGGGTTGTGCATGGTCGGGCTTCCGTTCGTGCATGGTTGTGATCCAGAGGTTGTTTGTTTGGTTCGTTCATGTTAGGCTTGCAGTTACACAACTGGTCGGGCTCCGGTTACACAACTGGTCAAGCTTCGGTTACACAACTGGTCGGGCTCCGGTTACACAACTTGTCAGCTTCCTTAGTTTGTGTAGTTTGCAGTTGTGTAGTTTGCAGTCTTTGTAGTTTTCCGTAATTTGTGTAGTTTGCAGTCTCCGTGGTGTAGTGGTAAGACACTCGCCTGGCGTTCCGCGAGCGCTATGTCATGGGTTCGTATCCTGGCCGGGGAGGATTTAATGGGCGCAATTCCTTAACTGTAGCCTCTGTTTAACGCAACAGTAAAATGTGTACTTGGATGAAAAAACGATTCTTCGCGGCAGGGGATCGTATTCCAGGGACCGTAGGATTAAGGACCTGCCCGAAACGCTACGCGTACTAGTGGCTGTACAAGAATGTAACAACTCTTGTATATATCTCAAAAAAAAAAAAAATCTCAAAAAGATTGCATTACTCCGGGGGTGTGACTTGTTGGACTTTGAGTTGTGCATGGTTGTGTAGGGTTCGGTGTTCAATGAACGAAAAGGACATGAGCAGTTTAAATTGCGAACGCATACCAACGAATAACGATAGTAGTCTATATAACAAATTGATTGTCCTGTGGAGTTGATTTAACTTCCAGACACGTTTTGTTTAATAAATATTAAAGATTTAGTGGCTGTTTATGAAAGATATTATATAAATACACATTCTACTTCTTAATATCACCAATTAAATTTGCGACAATTTGAGCCATGAAATGCGACGACTGGATCACTGTGTACAGGAGGCTGATATGGCAGCAAACACTCTCCAGGCGACCATATATCTTGGATAAGTCGCTCCACACAATTGTCGCTTGGACCGTAGACTTCCTATGGCGTCACCTCTCACATATTTACGTCTCATTTCGTTATGAAATTAGATTATTTCAGAGTAAAAATAGGTTTGATCATGTTCTACGTGTAGCACCAACATTATAGTAAGTAAATATACCATATTTCTTCATTACTTACGTAATGCTAGGACGATTTGTGTAGTTTTGGCCCGATTTGGGTAATTCTATGGACCGGTTTTAACTCGGTTGGTCTCATCTTTCAAGGGGACTATAGTAATTTTTTTCTTCTGCTTTTACTCCTTATATAAGCATAAATGGACATGGGATATTCAATTTCTATATCTACTACTTAATCACTGTAACATGTTCTAATGTATATTTCATAAATAAAACACTGACACACAAGCACAAGACGAAGCTGGAAAAAGTCCAAAGGTATGCTACTAGACTAGTCCCAGAACTAAGAGGCATGAGTTATGAGGAAAGGCTGCGGGAAATGCACCTCACGACACTGGAAGACAGAAGAGTAAGGGGGGACATGATCACAACCTACAAAATCCTCAGGGGAATCGACCGGGTAAACAAGGATGAACTTTTCAACACTGGTGGGACGCGAACAAGGGGACACAGGTGGAAGCTGAGTACCCAAATGAGCCACAGAGACGTTAGAAAGAACTTTTTCAGTGTCAGAGTAGTTAGCAAATGGAATGCATTAGGAAGTGATGTGGTGGAGGCTGACTCCATACACAGTTTCAAATGTAGATATGATAGAGCCCAATAGGCTCAGGAATCTGTACACCAGTTGATTGACGGTTGAGAGGCGGGACCAAAGAGCCAGAGCTCAACCCCCGCAAGCACAATTAGGTGAGTACAATTAGGTGAGTACTGAATTGTTATATTAACGATGATCAACAGAATTCACTAGTCGAAACGTCCCAAGTGCGACACACCGTGGTACGAAGTGAGTGCGCATGCGCCCTAGGCCCTCCAGCTGGTAAATAATTTCCCACACCGCGGAGGCTTCTCGCTCACTGGTACTGGCGCTGTTTTTTGGTCCTTGTGTGCATATATTCAATGGTGATCCGCACTGTGCTGGGTTGTGTTGGTAGTTGGAGAGTAGTTGGGCGGGGTGTGGCCGCCAGAGAGAGGCTGTACCGGTCATTATCAGTGGTGTTGGGGAGAGGCTTCCTCAGCCCCCACTTGGTGAAGCTCTCCACCACTGTAGGACTCGTGTCCTCCTACAGGTTGGTCCTCTTCACGTTGCTCTTGTATCTGTAGTAGCTCAGTATGTCCTAGTGTTTACTAACGCCAGGGTTATGGACGTCTTAAACTGGAGTCTGGGTGCTGGACAGCCATGACTCCGTCTTGCCTCTGTCTTGACACAAGTTTCTTCCACCATTTTCTATTAAAAATTTTTGCTCTATAGGTGTAATGTTGGTTTAATAATTGTGTTAGGACATCTCTGAATATATTTGATGACTTGCTACAAATGTTGCTTTTAATTTAGCTTTGTTCCTTGTATGTTAGAACGTGGACTTAGCAATGGTACTAGATAACTTTTTTTGTTTTTTTAATTTAATTAAGAAGTTGGGTCGATGACCAGAAAAGTTTGACCTGTCTTGTGTCAGTGCTATTCTTCAAACAAACCTAACCCAATCTAATGTAAATTACAGATGTAATTGTGTTTTGTCCAATCTATTGCTGGAACAGCTGGCCTCAGTCTTGACTCGGAATTGGGGATCCCGGATTCATTTCCTGGGTGGGACAGAAATGGTTGGACATTTCCTTTCACCTAATGCTTCTGTTTACCTAGCAGTAAATAGATTTCCAGAAGTTAGTCAACTGTTGTAGGGTTGCATCCTGGGGGAGCGGTCCGTAGTTCTCTCGTGTAGTTTAGTAACTGACTGGTTAGAGAGTCCAAATGCTTTGTAGATTAACTATACTGTACTTGTCTTCACTACAGTACTATGATACCATGGCATTGACAAAATGCCATAGACATTAAAATACAATGTCCTGCATTTGTATTTTATCTCTAGAAAGATGTGCATTTGATTTCCCATTGTTGGAAACAAAGTTTGTTAGGTTGATCAAGGTCCCTCAAGAACAATAATTAACTATTCTCAGGATGCAGCCCACACCAGTTGCCTTACTACCAAATACCTAGCAGTATGTAGGCATGTGGGTATTTGCTAACTGTTGCAGACATCAGGTGTAAGAAACTTACCCAAAGTCTCATTGTGCACAGGAATCAAACTTGAGACCTTTCACTTGTGAGTCATCACTAATGGCAAGCATCCATAGCACACAGAACAGTAGTGATGGATATCATTAACATTGAAGGTTGGAAATTACCCATTTAGGCAAAGCCTGAACCGGTATGGTATCCATGATATAGACTTAAGAATTTAACTATGTACTTCACAGTATTGGTCAATGGATTGTATTAAAAAAAAGGTTTAAAGAATTTTGAATGCATAATTTCTGTAGTCATTAACGAGAAATGAACATAGGCACAGTGGAGAGTACATACTGTAATTATATTTAATTTGTTTAATATACAGAAAATCTAATATAGATCCTGTAGAGTATTATAGTGTACTTGATATTAAGTAAATACAAAATTATCAGTGAAATCAGCTCACCTATGGTTTAAAGTGGTCTGAGCACTGTATAATATTTTATTTTTCTCCAGAAACTGTTCATCTTAGTTCAATTGTAGCAGTTAGGTTGCATGATAAATATTTTGAATTGCAATAAACTTTGGCTTAGTGAATCATTGTGTTGCTGCCATTTAAACCTTATATTTCTGCTGAAGATCACTTAAACATGATTATTTAGATCTTCTGTATATGACAGGATGGTTACAAATGTTAACCATCTTGTGACCTTGAGTCTACACTTCTCAAGGTGAAACATTTAAAAAAGACAGTTTTCTGTCTAGACAAGAATAATTTTCCTGTTTATAGTACTTTATATAATCTTATGTGACTTGCCACAGTAATAGCAACATATATTCAATTTTTAATAGTACTGATTATATAACTTGGATTAATGTCCAAGATGTGCCAGACCCACATTCTAGATTTAGTCTCATAGCTAACATTGGCTTTGCAAAGATTTCATAAAAAGACAACAACATATTATGGTTTTATTTTTCTCTTCTGCCATAAATAGGTACTCAAAACTATATTTATCTGATTACTAGGAGTGTGAGTCTCACCACCATGGGGGTTAAAGAGCGTGTGGAATCTATAGTAAAGTCAGAGGAAGACCAACGCGAGTATCGGGCTCTTATCTTGGACAATGGCTTGAAAGTCTTGCTAATCTCAGACCCAGCAACAGACAAGTCTGCTGCATCACTTAATGTACATGTTGGTAAGTTGCCCAAAATAATCTTAGGCTTACTTAAATTTTTGGTCTTCAAGCACCTGTTAAGAATGTACGATGCTATTAATCCAAGTTCGTTTTATTTTTTATTTTATTTTTTAGTTTTTCAAAACCTATGATTACTGTAACAAGCTTTTTTCACCTTAGACTACTCTGGTCTAAGGTAAGTGAGTGTCTTGCTCTTCCATGGACATAGCCAGTCCACCCTGATTGATGCATCCTTCACATAGATTAAATAAACTAAGGCAGTACTGCTCTTTTCCAGCTGTCTCATCAGCTCGGTTAGCTCCGGGAAGCCTTCGGGTCTCACCCAGAAAATGCTGTTTCATTACATTCAACGCTGTTTTTTTTTTTCCCCCATTTGCTGAGGTTTTTGTTCAGTAAAATATGGGCCATTTTTCCTTTGAAAAGGATATTTCCAGGCATGGGCATAGGAATTATGCTTAGATATGGTTAAATCTTTTACAGCCAGGTTCTATAGGTTGTTGCCCTTAATATGACAGGTTGAGATTATAATTTTACTCAGTGAAATCAGCCCATAGGGTGTGGGAAAATGCATCCTGGACATATCTCTGGTTGCAACAAATTGGGGTTGTTCCCTTATAGTTCATTGAAAAGAGCTTGTACTGTATACATTTTCTTTGTTTACTGAATTTGGTTAGATTTTAAAGCATTTACCTTAAGGATAGTTTACTGTCCACTAAAATAATTGCCTTAATTCTGTGAACAGGTAGCATGTCAGATACAAGAGAGTTGCCGGGATTAGCGCACTTCTGCGAACACATGCTGTTCATGGGTACAGAGAAATACCCTTGTGAAAATGAGTACAATAAGTATCTGTCTGAGCATGGTGGCTCCAGCAATGCATACACCGCTGCTGATCACACGAATTACTATTTCGATGTTGCTCCTGATGCATTCGCAGGTGCACTAGACAGGTGAGGCACGGCCACAAAATGTTTAGTAATGATATGGTCACAAATTTTAATTTTTGATAGATGCTACCAGGAAATTTGAAATGGATAATTCAGCTGAATTGTAAATTTTAAGAATAATATTTAAATATGTAATCACTTCCAGGTATCCTAAATAAAAGCCATACATGTATATGCTGATGGATGGATATTGTATTTGATTCTTAGCCAAGCTACTTTTTATATTAATTTTTACAAATTTTATATTTTTTCTGGGGGGAGCCCCTTCGGCTTCCTGGAGCTTACTAGGCTGATATGCTAATGTCAGACTTTGGCATTAATCATGTGTATGGAGTTCTATGGGCCTACCGGGGACCACAAGTCAGAACCTGGCCCCCTCAGAAGAGGCAAGGAGATCAGTGGCCTGTAGAAACCCCCGTGTGGTTGGAAGCATTCTATGTCTGCCATCGACCGGGTCAGGCACCCAGAAAGGTAAGCATCCCAAAACAAACCCCCCCCCCTATTCTGGTGAAAATATTGCTACCAAAGCCGAACAAGTGGATAGAACTCCCCAAAATTAAATGAGCAAACGATCGTGACGTCACACGTCATCACGCAGCTGTCTGTGCAGCTCCCCCCTCCCCGGGAGGGAAAGGGGGAAAGGGGAGCCCCAGACCCCACACACAGGCTATCCACCCTTTAATTCTTAGGCAGATGTTAGAGGCTCTGTTCATGTGCTCTGGCTCCAGACATTGTTTCAGCACTGTGCTTTAAGTGTGGTGGCTGTCTTCTAGGGGTGCGAGAGCCAGGCGTTATTCTTCAGTACTCGGGCTGCATGCGCCTAGGGTTCCCTTCCCTAGGTACCCTGTAAGTTATTCCCTTGGGGCTTGGAGTTACCTTCCACAAGTTCCTTGGGTCCTGTCTCTGCTGGCCATTTTACTGCACGGTTTTTCAGCCACCCTTTGGGTACTTGGGTGTTTTGGGTACTTGGGTGTTTTTGCCATAGGCTTTGGGTACTTGTCAGCCTATGTCTGACGTGCTGGTTCGCCGGGGACCCCAGGGGGTTCTTCCTGGAAGGGTCGTGCCAGGGCTCGGGGTTCCTCATCGTGGTAGGCCACAGGTGCCCGGTTCAGGTTCGTCGCCGCCTTCAGTCCTGCCTTCGTTTGGTCGGCACGGTGGTCGCTCTGTGCGAGGTTCTGGGTCTCGTAAGGGGCACCGGCTCTCGCGGTTCGCCTCATTGACGGGGCGATTGGGGGGAGGCTTGCGCTGTTCGCTCACGCTTGGTCCCGTGATTTGTGGGTGTTTCGTGTCATTTCTTTCGACCTGTGGTCGCGTTGGGTGGCCCCCTCCTCCTTCGGGAGGTTCGGGGCTGGTGGGGCAGGCCTCTTGCCCTGCGCTCTGTCGGGTCATCTTGGAGTGGGTTTGCTTGGGCGTGGTCGAAACGACGACGTCCCTCAGATGGGTTTCCCATCTGTTCCCAGTACCAAAACGTGACTGTGCGGACCTGCGGTTCATTTTGGACTTGTCCCGTCTGAACCCCTGGGTTTGCTGCCCCTCCTTTCGGATGACTACGCTGTCCCAGGTTTGACTTCTGTTGGAGTCGGGCGCTTGGATGGTGTCCCTGGACCTATGGGATGCTTATTGGCACGTCCCGCTTCCTCCGGGGTTCAGGGACTAGCTCGGGTTTGTTGTGGAGCGTCAAGGTTACAACTTTCGTTGTCTCCCATTCGGGTTGAACCTGGCACCTCGCGTGTTTACACGCCTTACACGGGTCGTTGTGGCCCGTCTGCGTTTCTTAGGTGTTCGGGTGTTGGCCTATCTCGATGACTGGCTGGTTTGGGCTCCCAGCCAGTCCAGTTGTCTGCTAGCCAGGGATTTGGTTCTTCCTCAGCTCGCCGGGTTCGGGTTCTTGGTGAGCTGGAGGAAGTCCTATCTGGTTCCCTCCCAGGTTCGGACATGGCTGGGTCTTGTGTGGGACTCTCGGACCTCTTCCTTGTCTCTCCGTCCGGAGTCTCTCCTGCGGCTGTGGTCCCGCTTGCGCCTGTTTCTGGGGAGGCTCCCGGGTCACCCGGCGGTTGCTCGAGGGTCTGTGCAGGAGCCTGAACTTCGCGATGATGGTCTACCCGCCGGGTTGGGTTTGGCTTTGTCGGCTGTTCTGGTTCCTTCGGGGATGTCCCTTCCACCTCTCTCGCAATCGCTGGGTTCGGACCCCAGGGGCCTTGCGTCAGCTGCTGCATTGCCGGCTTCCTCTTCTGGTTTTTTGGGGTTCCGTGCCTTGGCGCCTACCCGAGCCCTCACTCGATGTGTTCATGGATGCGTTGTCTCTTGGCTGCAATTTTATGACCAGTGCTCAGCAGGCTGGCCAGGGACGGTGGGTCCGTTCTTTCGTCGAGTCCACAGCACGGTACGGGAGTTCCCGGCGGTGTGGTTTGCTCTTCGGAGGGTTCGGGTCGCCCGCGGATCAACGATCTGGCTCTATTTGGACTGCTCCCAGTGGTTCATTGTCTGAACCGGGGCGATTCGATGCGGTTCTTGACTCTTTGGTGCTGGTCCCTTCAGGTGACTCGTCTGCCGAGTTCTCAAAGTTTGGCTCTCCTGGCAGTTCACGTGCGGGATGGGCCCAACATCTTGGCCGACAGTCTGTCCCATTCGTTCCCCTCTCCACAGAATGGACGGTCGACGCTGACTCCTTCAGGTGACCTTGCCGGATGTTTGGTCGCCCTGAGGTGGACCTTTTCACGTCGGCGTTGTCGCGGCGCCTTCCTCTGTATGTAACGCCCTTTCCCGACTGCGAGGCCGTCGGGGTCGATGCCTTTCGGCAGGACTGGTCGAGGGTGGGGGTTCCTGTACCTCTTTTCCCTGGTTCAGCTGTTGCTCCAGGTCCTGACTCGCTTGGAGACTTACCAGGGGAGAGTTATCCTCTTGGCTCCATGGTGGCCGGCCCAACTGTGGTTTCAGGCGCTGCTTATTCGGTGTCCAAACCCGGAGGTTTTCCTGCAGATCCGCCTTTTCCAGCAGATTGGACCTAACGTCACGTGGACTGGTTCGACCTTCCCCTCGAGTCTTTGGGTATGGTATTTTTGACTCGAGTTTATCGTCATCTATGGTGATCAGGTGGCTTCCGTGTTAGTGTCCCACCTGCGCGTTTCGTCTCGGCGGCAGTATGAAATTTCTTGGCGGTCCTTCAGTTTCTTCCTGCGTCTTCGTTGTTGTTCTTCGCTTTCTGTTAGGGTAGTATTGTCCTTTCTCTGTTGGTTGTTCCAGGACCGTCACCTTATGCCTAACACTGTCGCCTCGTATCGTGTTATCGCCTTCAGTATTGATGTTACTTCTGCACCATTTCGCAAGCTGTCTTGGGCGTTGTTTCACCTCCGGCCTGCTCATGCGCCACCTGAGCCGTCCTGGTCTTTGGACAGGGTGCTCTCTTGTCTTTCTTCTCAGTTTGTTGTGGCCCCTTTGGTTAGGACTGTTTCTCCAAGGCTCTTTTTCTGTTGGCATTGGCCTCTGGGGGTTGGGTTGGTGAGCTTCATGATCTCCTCCGGCGCAGGCGTTTCTGCTCTTTCGGTCTTCATGGTGCTTTTGTTCATTTGCAGCCGTCTCCTTCTTTTCTGGCGAAGAACGAAACTACTGCATTCTGGAGGGGTCCCTGGGTTGTGGATGCTTGGTTGGTTAGGCCGGGGGTGCATCATGTTTTGTGTCCAGTTGCGACTCTTCGTCGTTATTTGCGCGCCACGGCTTCTGTGTCCGGGGAGTTAGGGACTTACCGCCTCCCGGGTAAGTCCCTAACTTTTTCCTCTGTGGGTAGTTAGCTCCGGGGAGCCGCAGGGGCTCCCAGAAGCTCCCACCCAGAAAACCAGTGTTAAATGTAATGAAACTCCATTTTCTGGGCGAGACCCGGAGGCTCCCTGGCATCCCTCCCTCCGGTCAGCTATTTTTTCACAGGTTTTGACATCCAGCCTAAGAACTAAAGGGTGGATAGCTGGCGTGTGGGGTCTGGGGCTCCCCCTTCCTCCTCCCAGGGAGGGGGGAGCTGCATAGACAGCGGCGTGATGACTTGTAACGTCATGAGCGTTTGCTCGTTTCTTTTTGGGGAGTTCTATCCACTTGTTCGGCTTTTGGTAGCAATATTTTCACCTGAATAGGGGTTTGTTTTGGGATGCTTGCCTTTCTGGGTGCCTATCCCGGTCAATGGCAGACATAGAATGATCCCAATCTCACTGGGATCTCTATAGGCCATTGCTCCCCTTGCCTCTTCTGACGGGGCCAGGTTCTGGCTCGTGGTCCCCGGTAGGCCCATAGAACTCCATACATATGATTGATGCCAAACTCTGACATTTGCATATCAGCCTAGTAAGCTCCAGGGGAGCTTCCGGATCTCACCCAAAAATTGGGTGTTTCATTACGTTCAACGCTGGTTTTTTATAATTGTGGGAACAAAAAAATCATGGAATACAATACTAATGTTTGTTTTGGAAAAATGGCCAAAAGAAAATATGATGAGATTAGTTAATGGTGTTGAGTAAGTATAAAGGGAGAGTTATAGAAGTGGTGGATTAATTTAAATACCATTACTCGAGATGTGTCATTTAGGTTAAAGGGTAATTTGTGCATGCTAAGTTGAGAGTACAGTATAGTGAGTTAGGGAAGGCAAGTGACTGGTGCAGTGAAAGCCTTGGGTCAAAAGTATGATAAGAGATGCAATTGGATAGTTGTATGATGGAGTAATGGTGTCTTAACCTTATGTTTGGATGTTAACAGTGGTATAGTAGTATGGTTCACCTAGTGGTTTCTCCTAGTTGGAGACAGGAAGCCAGTTAAGCTTATTGAGGTCCTTTTCCAGGACACAGGTTTGATTAAATTTCGCAAGTAATTGTTCACCTTATCAAGAAACAATAGATTATGGTATTATCGTACTGTTTACACCATAATCTATATTTCACGGTAATGAATGTCCTCCATTTTTTCCAGATTTTCTCAGTTTTTTGTAACTCCATTGTTTACGGAAAGTGCGGTGGATCGAGAAGTAAATGCGGTTAACTCAGAGCACGAGAAAAACATACAGAATGATTATTGGCGATTAGCTCAGTTGGAAAAATCTACAGCTGATCCAGAACATGACTTCAGCAAGTTTGGCACAGGTTAGTACAAGTACAGTATTATTTTAGAATGTTCTTTAATTAGCTCTTTCTACACAAGTTGTTTGTTAATTCTAGCATCCGATCTGCTTTAGAAAATAATATTTTCATATTTCATTACTTTTTCGTACCTATAATATACACAGATACATTCGTGTCATTAATATGTGCTCAATATTATATTTTTTGGACAACAAAAAATACTGTTTCTGTGGGGGGGGGGAGCCCTGTCGGCTCCCCAGAGCTATCCAGGCTGAATGGATATGTATAACTTTCTGGCATCAGTCAATGTGCTTGGAGTTCTTGTCTACCGGGGACCACGAGCCAGAACCTGGCCCCCTCATAAAGGCACGAGGAGCAATGGCCTATAGAAACCCACCTGTGGTTGGGAGCATTCTATGTCTGCCACCGACCGGGACAAGCACCCAGAAAGGTAGGTGCCCCAAAACAAACCCCTATTCTGGTGAAACTATTGCTACCGAAAGCCGAACGAGTGGACAGAACTCCCCAAACAAAAATTAGCAAATGTAGAACATTATGCACTTAATATTAATAATTATTTAAAGCATCAACTGTACTTCATCTCCCCCCCAATCAAGTTTTGTAAGGCATCTCAATTTCTTTCCAGGAAACAAGGAAACTTTAGATATAATTCCAAAGGAGCAAGGCATTAATGTTCGGGACGCTCTACTACAATTTCATGCCAAGTGGTACTCGTCTAACATTATGGCCGTTGCCGTCCTGGGAAAAGGTAAGTTTCGAAACATAATGCAAAATAGCTCATTGGTCCACAAGGTATAGACTAGGATAATATTGCCAATCATCAGCAACTCTGTTTTTGCTGCTTAACTGATCCATAGTCTTTGTTCTGTTATCCAAAGCAGTTAGTATCTCTCGATGTATGAATAATTGAAAAATTGTTGATGGCATTAGGGCTAGATGAGGCTGGATGTGAGGGAGCTTCAGGTATCTCTCCACACACACACACACACCCACATTGCTTAACTCAGGTTTTGTTTATCGATTCTTACATTAATAAGCATTTTGTATCTCGAATCTTTCATTTTATTTAAGGTGAAATAGTATGGGTAGGTTTATTTGGCAAAGGAAATAAGGAAAATATTACCTAGCTGACATTTTGTAATTTTATGTACATTATGACCAAAACACTTCATCGTTTATTAAGTTCAATGCAAATTTGCTGTTATTTATTGCTCGAGGCATTAGAGAGCCATTATTTATTAAATTTCTTACTTTGGGATAAAAATAGTTTTGATGACTTTGATATTCAACCTGTCCTCCGGAATAATACATTGCATTTTGATGTTAAAATCCTCAACGCCCAAAATATGATGTACCATAAACGATAGGAGCCAGCAAAAGTCCTTGTTTTCTATGCATGGGTTGTCTGTTAGGCTAGGTGTGAGAAATTTAGTACATCATTTTCTGTCAGTTGTGGCACGGATGGGCTGTGACATTACTAAGCATTGCTTATAGCTCCTGATATATCTAAACTGTCTGTTTATTTGTCGTACAGTATTTTATTTATGAAGAAATAGTGTGGGTGATGGATTATGTAGAAATATTCAGTATATACCTCACCATTCCTCAACACATTTCCCTGCCACCCTTCCAGCCACCCAACTGCAACTTTCATGTTATTTTAAATGGCATGGTGCTTATATGACCAGTGCATGATGAAAACATGCAGCAGTGACTCGGTAAGGGCTGGTGTATGCCACCAATGCATACCTATACCATCTTAGTGATGTACTCGGTTTCTCTTGCCGTCATATGTAACTTTCCCCCCCGTCCTCACTTTTGGATGTTTTTTCTAATATGCTTGTATTTCTTGTATACTGTGTTTCACTTTATGTAAAGTGAAATAGCCATTTGTACTCAAATTTGATTCCTGAGCAGGATGAGATGTTTGGGCATTTCCCTTACACCTGATGCGTCTATTCACCTAGATGTAAATAGGTACTGTACCTGACAATTAGTCGACTGATGTACACGCCTAGTTGTGCTTGCAGGGGGTTGAGCTTCGGCTCTTTGGTCTCGTGATGTGGGTTGCATCCATGGGATGATCAGTTGTTGGCTTAGAAAAACCTTGATAAGCCTAACTGGCATCCTCTGCTTAATTATAAGAAGCCATTTAGTACAGTTAGGCAAGGATATTTGCGTTATTATGTCAGGCAGTGTGGGGGACTTCACTGTTAATGGTGGTGGACCCAATTAACCAAACATCAATCTGGTGTGTTAGGTTTTCAACAGTTAGTTGATGGTGGTACAGATGTAACAGGACAAGAATGATGTTTTAAAATGGGAAGCTATGGGTCATGGGAGCAACAAAAATAATCCAGTAAAAAGTAATAAAAGAATATTCTTGAAAAAATAAGACAGTAGGGAAAAGGTGTCTACAGGTATACTATGCTAACTCCAGAAGTGTGAAAAGCAAGATGGGTGACCTCCGAGTACTGGTGTGTTTTGAAATGTTATACATTATTGCACTCATTGAAGCATGATTGAGTATGGACTCACTGGGCCTACTAGTTGAGTACCAGATTAAGGTATATACTGTAAACTTGTTTTTGCTGGCAAGAGACAGAAAAGTTAGTAAGAGCTTGTTACCCATGTGAGAGAGACTCTGAAGCACAGAAATGGAGGGATCAAATCACAGAAAACCATGGAGGTAGAAGCAAATGAGGGGAAACTTAAAAACTGCTAAAGAGGGTAATATATATATACCCCCCCCCCCCTTCCCCCGGGTCTAAACTTTTCAAGCAGTGTACCTTACTTCTTGGTGCCTTTCATGTGTGTGATACATTGCTGAACTAGCAGCTGAGCTCTTCAGCATATTGCAAAATCTAATGAAATGTGTCCAGTGCATATTTAAATATCGTGAACTTATGGAGGAGATTGAAATGTCAAGGAAAATTCTGCAGCAGGACACCATCTCATGGAAGAGCAATTTCCATGGAAAAAATGATTCACAAATGCTGTGTATACAAAAGAGTGCCAAAGATTAAAGATAGGGGAGTCCTATCTTTGTTATCTATTAGTGAAACTTTGCTTTAGGTGTAGCAAGGTATCGGGTTAAACTGAAAGTTTATCAGTTGCCATTTAAATTAAGGTATGAATTAAGTTGATGAAATGACTACTTTTATTTTATTTACCTACATTAATATTCCAATTTCAAATCAACAGAGAGCTTAGAAGAGCTGGAAGCTATGGTTATAAGCCTATTCACCGAGGTGGAGAACAAAAACGTGACTACGCCAGAGTGGTTGACTCACCCCTTTGGGCCCGAGCAGTGTCGCAGGTTATGCTATGTGGTGCCTGTGAAGGACATTCGCAACCTATACATCACTTTCCCAATTCCAGATCTTCACCCACACTATAAAACAGCTGTAAGTGGGACATAACAAACTTTAATAAAGGGAGCAGTGGTGCATAATTGTTCATAAATCTCCTGTAATGATTATAGGTTTTATCACTTAAATTGTTTAAAATATCAGATACTGTATTTAAACATCTGTGCATGGTGGATGTCGATTGTGACTGTCCACTTCACAAAATTCACATCAATGAGTATATAAATAGAATGAGTTGAAATAAGTTTATTCATCATGTATATTACTGAGTATTTCTTGCTAGAGAGTCGAACAAATAAATGGTCATATAATAAGCGAAAAGTTAAAGCTATATGCTTTCATTTTTGAAGAAAACTAAAAAAAATTGACAGGTTCAGTAAAAAAATCGTTGCAATTGTGCAAATATCGGTTATATAATTTATGACCTACGAATTTCATCTTGTTGGATCATATGTAATCCTACTTTGCAGCCTGGCCATTACCTAGGTCACCTCATTGGTCATGAAGGTCCTGGGTCGCTGTTGTCATATCTGAAAGGTCGTGGATGGGTCAATTCACTGGTTGGAGGTCAGAAGTCTGGTGCTAAGGGCTTTGCATTTTTTGTTGTTAATGTGGATTTGACAGAAGAAGGAATTGAGCACGTTGAGGATATTGTCTCAGCGGTGTTTCAGGTATTTATAATTAAAGTTAAGTAGATAAACTGATAGTAGTAATGTACTATTTCATCATTATTGTTTTGGCTTTCAAATCTTAAATCAAAGTATTGGCCTCCTTTACAGATTCAAGTAAAATGTGTTTCGTTCCTCAAAACATTTTCTTTTGCAGTATCTAAACTTGTTGAAGAAGGAAGGCCCTCAACAATGGGTATTTGATGAATGTCGAGATTTGAGCAGTATGACCTTCCGGTTTAAGGATAAGGAGAGACCCCAGTCTTATACGTGTGGCCTCTCGGAACAGTTACATGTAAGCACATAATGCCAAGCTATTTAGATTGCAACTTCTAGACTTAATTCAAATTATGCACTTATAAATATCTGCATGAGGTACAGTGCAATATATTGTTTCAGTAATTGAATATTATAAAGCTAGGTATTCCTTGAAGATTTAGCTTACAGTTTTCATTGAATTATAATTATTATTACTACTATTTATTTTTTCCAAGCTTTTCGTGTCTTAAAGAATGCCATAGCATATTTGTATAAAAGTTTCATGTCGTATTTGTTATTACAAGGAGTATCCTTATTCTTTGGCCGTGTAATCCATTCGCAGCAGATTTTAGAGCTGTTTTAAATTTCATTGGGAGTTGGAGGATGATCTTGAGCAATGTTTAAAAAACACACTTATCTTGAGGTTATCTTGAGATGATTTTGGGGCATAGTGTCCCCACGGCCCAGTCCTCGACCAGGCCTCTTTTTTTTTTTTTTGTTACACCCCCCTCCCCCCAGGAAGCAGCCCATAGCAGCTGCCTAACTCCCAGGTACCTATTTACTGCTGGGTAACAGGGGAAATATTAGAAAGAAATATTTTGCCCGTTTTTCTCCGCCTCCACCAGAGATCGAACCCGGAACCTCAGGACTACGAATCTGAAGCGCTGTCCACTCAGCTGTCAGGCGCCAGACCTAGGCATAACTGCCAAAATTTCTACGCAGGCTCTGATGCTGGGGATAATTCCCAGTAATTTCGGTTGCAATAAGATCAGTTGTGATACACGGTAAACTTAATTTTAGTCCCCTCCCCTCCAGGAAGCATACTATAACCACTACCAATTTAAATTGTCTACCGATTTTACCTTCTGATGGTTCTGTAATTAATGTCTCCGCACCCCAGTAGCTGACTAGGCCCCTGGTCGATGGTCTGGTGAGCCAGATTCTTAGACACTGCTGTTTACAGTCTGATGTATGAATCACCACTTTTGGTCAGGTATCATTTGCAGGTGTTATCACGTTCTCTTTCCTACATCATAAGAGGTTAGCAAAGTTATGCCCATTATGTATTGGAGGGTGTTGAAAAGTCTTAGGAACTTAATTAATTGATTAATAATAATGATAAAAGTTATAAATTGTCATCCACACTTCCGTGGACATGAACATATTTTTGCCTGGGCTCTAAGAGACTCGAACCACGAACACCATGAGTCCATGGATAGAGCTTTGTCTCACACAAGTGAGGTACGGGGTTTGCGTCACCTAGAACCCAGGTGAATGAGATAAAAATAATAATAATTTTTATTTAAGCAAACGTACATTGTTAAATTTGCAAGCACTGCATAATTACAATATTGTCATGGGTACTGTTATATACAAATTGGAATACAGTACCTTCCCCAAGCATTTTTCATGAACATTGAAGTAAACACATTTCCCTGCCTACCCGTGGAGTCTAAGGTTTCTCCACAGATCAAGAGTGATCCCTTGTATACTTGCGCTGCCATCTAGTGACAAAGCAACAGGGTAATTTTGTCCTTGTGAATAGTTTTGAGTTTTGTTTGGTATTTGTTTATAACGAGCATATTATTATGAGTTTTGAGTTTTTGTGACCCCTCTTTCAGCCCTTTTGGTGGAGTTTTGCTTTAGTGTGTGATGTGTATGACAACCACAGCTCACCACATCTCTCAGGGTGGAAAATTCTGGTTCTTGTCTGTGACCAACCACGAAAATGTCTCGGATGCCTGGGGAAATATTATTGACCCCTGGGGTACCTGTTTTTAAGTTTTCCTTGAAAAAAGGTATTTTATTATACTATACTTAATTCTCTATTTTTCTTATTATTAAAATGATAAAGGAACTTTTTATTTATTTATTTATTTATTTATTTATATATATGTTGGGAACTGTATTGTGTAAAAGTGATAAATACATTTTCTCCACAATTCATTTGCTTTTCAGTACTACCCACTAGAGGAGGTACTGTGTGGTGGATATCTTCTTAGTGAATTTAAACCAGAGCTTATTGACATGGTTCTTGGTCACCTCATTCCACAAAACATCAGGCGAGTTTAAATTATTTAGCTGTGTACCTTTCAAATCTGTAAAACATCTTAAAAATAATTCTTGCTGGCACCTTGGGGGTTGAGAGCTGTCAAACATAATGCTAAATCCAGATTCACCATTATGCCATCTTGCCCTCACAAAATATTAATTTTGTCTAATAATAAACTACTATTCAGGTTGACAAAATCTAAATAACACGTACAGTGTGAGTGTACTTGCCAAGAGTTTGAGACTTCATAGACAATTCTGGAATGCTGTTTTGGTGCTATTGTTTGGGCTCAGTTGATTGTTGTGGAGAATTTTGGTTAATTTGATGCTTCTGAAATGGAGTTAAATACTGAAATTCCATCCTGCTTTGGCTTGTATGACTCCCATATAGCATTAGTTTTTGGATGACAAGTACTGTAGTACCAGTGGATAGGTAAAAGATTGATATGGTCTCCGACCATAGTTCCCAATAAATATTCTTTTTCATTACATGAAAGCTAAAGTGAGGTGCAATAACATTTGAATTTTTCATTTACAGAATTGCTGTTGTGGGAAAAGCCTTATCAGAAAAGGTAACATGCACTGAAAAGTGGTATGGAACATGCTACAAGATGGAGGACATCGACCCGGCTCTGTTAGAGCAGTGGCAGTCTGTGGGACTGAATGATCAGTTACGGTTACCCATGAAGAATGAATTTGTGCCTACTTGTTTTGACTTGTATAAAGATGTGCAGGTGAGTGTTGGGTAATATTATTTGGTTTTGAACATTCTTTGAATATATATATGTATATGTAATGCTAATCTTAATTTCAGGAAATTACTCATTGTCTTAACTATATTATTTTATTAAGTACTTCATTAATAAAGAGGATACATTTAGAATTAGGGCCTTCATTTTTATAGGTGGTTATTTGTTTCACAGTTTTGGTGATAAGTATTGTTTTTCTGGGAGGTATCCTAATGGTGGCTTCTTAGTGCCTGCTGCTTGGGAAGCTCCCTTGAATTCAATCCATGCCAGGCCCTTGTGAGTCATAAGCCTTCTGGGAGACCATAGACCAAAAGCTGGTCCCCCTCTTAAAGAGGTGCAAAGAGCAGGGGATAATAGATCACACTAACCAAGAAAGGGCATGCAGGAAGATGAACAGATCAAAACAGATCAAACAAGGTAAGCAAAGGTATAGGAAATGAGGATAGCAAAGCCCCGATATTCATGAACCACTTGGTGGTGTAGCAATTCTCATGTCAGTACTGAGTACTACCTGCATGTACCCCTTTCCACTGCAATCCACAGACCTTAACCCCTTAACTGCGTTGCCTCCAAATGTGACACCCCCGCAGTGCGCAGGAAATAAATTCTCTGGAAAAAATTCTTTTTTCTTTTTGAAGTGTCAAAAACCCTTCCCTCAGTATGGGTATGCAAAAAAAAAGTCGAAATTGTACTTACTTTGGCTGCTATGGGGTCCGGAAGTTGGGGCGTGACGTCATCATTCCCCGTGCGCCCGTGCCGTAAGCTCTCGGGGGCGGTGGGGCGCTCGGGGCGGGGCGCGCGAGTTGCCGCGAATATATTTTCGTTCATTTTTTGCGCACCTTTCCAAATACATTTTCATTGTTTTTATGTGCCAATCCAATGTATAATGAACACGTACACTATAATATCGCAGTACAACATCCGTACTGTCCGTAGACACTGTGTTACGTGCATGAAACTTGTGTACACATATGCAGCACATATTTACTATGTATCATGCTAATTTGTGTATATATACAATCTATTTACACACTATACACTGTCACACACTATATACATTCACCATCAACACATTCAGAACACCGCGTAGCAGCTGCTTCGTATGGGCCAATAGCAGCTGCCTCGTATGGGCCAATATCAGCTGCCTCGTATGGGCCAATAGCAGCTGCCTCGTATGGGCCAATAGCAGCTGCTTCGTATGGGCCAATAGCAGCTGCCTCGTATAGGCCAATAGCAGCTGCCCCGCATGGGCCAATAGCAGCTGCCCCGCATGGGCCAATAGCAGCTGCCCCGCATGGGCCAATAGCAGCTGCCCCGCATGGGCCAATAGCAGCTGCCCCGCATGGGCCAATAGCAGCTGCCCCGCATGGGCCAATAGCAGCTGCCCCGCATGGGCCAATAGCAGCTGCCCCGCATGGGCCAATAGCAGCTGCCTCGTATAGGCAATAGCAGCTGCCTCGTATGGGCCAATAGCAGCTGCCGCGTATGGGATAATAGCAGCTGCCTCGTATGGGCCAATAGCAGCTGCCTCGTATGGGCCAATAGCAGCTGCCTCGTATGGGCCAATAGCAGCTGCCTCGTATGGGCCAATAGCAGCTGCCTCGTATGGGCCAATAGCAGCTGCCGCGTATGGGCCAATAGCAGCTGCCGCGTATGGGCCAATAGCAGCTGCCGCGTATGGGCCAATAGCAGCTGCCGCGTATGGGCCAATAGCAGCTGCCGCGTATGTGCCAATAGCAGCTGCCTCGTATGGGCCAATAGCAGCTGCCTCGTATGGGCCAATAGCAGCTGCCTCGTATGTGCCAATAGCAGCTGCCTCGTATGGGCCATGAACACATTCAGAACACCTTGAGTGAGAGCAGCCACACCCAGCCAGTCTCCCTCACTCCAACATCTTACTCGCCAACATTGCTCCTCCCACCATATTGCTATAGTTCTTATTACACATGTTCTATATACCTATCTACATGTTTTATTTACCAGAACTATGCAAGTAAGCCGGTATTGTGTCCAAACAGTACAGTGGCCACCATACACTGCATGAAAAATCACACAGCAGACGACGCTACGATTACGTCACCTCCCTCACCAAAATAGCTCCTCTCAACATTCTCCTGTTGCTGTTCTTACACTATATACACACACTATATATACCCATGTACATATGTGTTGCCCATAGTGAACCACTAAGCTAGTATGGTGAGCAAAACAAGAGTGGCAGCCACACACACACAATTGAGGCTACCTCAATTCTCGCCCTCCCTCCCTCATCAAAATTCCTCCTTCCACAATACTACGCACAACGCTAATTATAACCACATTCCTGCTATTATCACAATCCTGGTCACTAATTCCTGTAAATGAATAATTGACCACACGTTTATTTTGAAAAAGAACCTAAGAAATCATTTGAAGATTCCTAGATGAACGAAATAATGCTCTGGTGCTGTGGCTAGCGCTGTGAACATCGTGAACAGCATTGAATCACTGATATTTGAACATTGTACCCAGTCATTATCACACTCAGGCTCTAATATAACACTAAATAATACAATTTATATATATATTTTGACATTATTAGGCGATGCTGTGGTCACATGCTGAACAGCAGTGCTGTGCGCTCATGCTGCGAGCGCCAGCCTTGGTTGCTCACACACTACTGAGGCTCCCACACCCGGGAATGTGGACCACGATTTTTTTTAAAGATGGCGTCTGTTTACAAGAGCCCTGAGGAAGCTGATGTGAACCCCATGTAGCCGCGGGAGTTTTGAATGGAACGTGAAAAATACAAATACCCGGAGGCGCGTTGCGCAAACCAGACGTGAGCCTGCAGGCGTGTTGCGCAGTTTAAGGGTTAAATCCTCAGTCATATAGCCAGGTAAATAAAAAGCCAAATCCCCAGAATAGGGAAGGGAGGGTACCAAGGAAAGACCCACCAGAAAGAGGTGTTTCAGTACATTTAATGTTGGTTTTCTGGGATGGCTCCTAAAGGCAACTGCTTGATGCTGTGACCACAGAGAAAAATAAAATCGAGTATTCACCATAGTTGACACTCATTCCTCAACAATCTAAGTGGTTGGACACCATTCCTTTCCTCTGTCTTATCACAGCTTGTCCACCTATCTTTTCCAAATGCTATAGTCATACTGGCTTAGCACTTTCTCCTGATATAACCTTACCTTCAGAAATGGTACTTTACTCAAATTTCCAGCTATGATTTTTAAAAATCTATGCGATAAATTTAGACCTTTAAACTACAGTATTTACTGATCTTCCACAATTGTTTCAAAATTCTGTAAACACTGGCATGTTTTATCTTATTTTCCTCAGATAGGTCATTCACATAGATTTAAGGATAGAAATGATCCGAAGACAGATACCTGTGGAACCATATTTCCCACTTTCCTCAAGGCTGACATACACTTTCTGACCCTTCGTTCCTGTCCTTCACTTACTCCCTTACCTAGTTCAGTGTATTTCCAGATATTCCAGCATCTCTACATCCGATACACTAGCCATTTGACATACAGTATCAAAATGTATTTTTGACAAGTAGGAAGAGCCTATCTATCCTTTATTTTGACACATGGTCTCTATCGTATAACTTACCATGAGTTGTCAGGCGCAACTTCTTTCCTTCTGAAACTGTTGTATATCCTTTACAAAATTTAATTGTGTTCTCTACTATTCTCTCCTTCTTTTTCCAGAATTTTGCAAGATATTCTTGTCAGTGATGCTGGTCTATAGTTTATTGCTTCCTGTCTGTCCCATTCCTTGAATAGGGACCATTTGGCTTTTTCTAGATTTCTTGGAACCTTCGGGTTTCTAATACTATATTAATAGCTCTAGTTAAAAGATAAAACAAATTCTCTGTGGTCTATCCTTGGCCTTCATTCTGGTTCTGTTTTGCAGCTCTTAAAGCTTGCCACACACGCCATGCTATTTTCCATGAGAATGCTGCTCTCTCTCCACAGCCTGATCACATAATCTTTTACTATTATATACAATTGTTTTTGTTGCTAAGTTTTTGTCAAATTGCTGCTCTGCTCACCTAACCAAAAGGGAAGGAGATTTTCACAAAAGGAGGAGACACTCGGAGCCAATTTTGTTTTCTTCGTTTTAAGTTACATGTAATGCAAACATTTTGCCAAATGCCCCAAAGTGGTTCAAAGTGTCTGATTATAATTTATCCTGATTAATAGTATTACATTCTGTTCCTTTTAAATATTACTTTGTGTACATTTTGTTTAATAATATTAAAAGGTCTTAACATTTTCACTATTTTTCAGCCAGTTAGTAGTTTACCAGAGATGATCAGTGAGACTCCCCTAGCCAGAGTGTGGTATAAGCAAGATGATGAATTTAAACTTCCTAAGGCTGTTATCTACACAGAGCTTTTTAGGTGAGCTTGTGCAAAAATATAATTAGAATAGTCTACTGGTTCTGTATGAAGGTGATTTTATGCTCTTAATTTAAATGTTAAGATCTAGTTTAGACTATTCATCAGAAGATACTAACATTCAATCCATTATATTCCTCAGAAGTAATGACATTTTTGTGCAGAAATTCATACCTTTCTTATACGTAACATAAGTTTTTTTTTATTAAGATTTTACCAGATATATAGTCCCTTAGAAATTTTTGCCAGGAAATGATGTAAGATTTTTTGTTTTGTTTAATATGACCTTCAAATGCCACTGTGTATATATATGCCTGCTCTCGGTGGGTCTTTTTGTCCCATTTCTAGCACTCATTTCTAATAATTATGTTCTTTTTTCCAGTCCCTTGGCATACCTTGATCCTCACCACACTAACCTGCTGCATATGTTTGCACAGCTGTTTCGCGATGCCCTCACAGAGTACACTTATGCTGCAGAATTGGCTGGCTTAACATACTCTCTCTCCAACACTAAATATGGACTCACTGTAAGTTGCTGCCTTGCGTGTTTATTAATATGAATCTGTTTTGTTCCTTAAAGTTGCAAAAGTTAACTCGGAGTCTTAGAATGGTCATTATTGTGACTGGTATTTTTGGAGGAATCTTGTTAAATGATTATAAACTAACTCGCTAATCCTCAGAGAGGTTGATAATAGGTATTAGCTAATATAATTAGTTTATTAAAGCTTGGGTATTCAGTTATATTATTACAAGGTCAAAATGCATTGCTTTTCATGTGGGATAAATAAATGTGCTGGAGTACAATTGAATGGGAAGTGGGCTTCCTGGTTGAGAAGTGGATCATTGCCTCTCATCTATATATATGCCTTAATATTTGTCTAGTGTTTATGTCAAAGCAGAATTTTTAAATGTGATTGTCTATATTGGTAAGAAAAGTTTCAATTGGTATTTTAACTTGACTAGAATAAATAAACTTTCTCTGTCTCTCCTAACTTTAAAGCTAACTACAGGAATATGCTACGTCATTGTCATGAGATATTAAACAGATTATACAGTCAATGGACAGTAAATTTATTTTATGAAATACATTAAGATTTAGGTTAGATGTAGATTGATTCAAACTTTATACTGGAATAAAAATTCCAGGTGTAAATGTTAGTTTCCTACTGCTTGTCATATATATATATATATATATATATATATAGAACAAAATTATAGTAAATATATTAATTCAGGAAAACTTGGCTTATTAGGCAAATCGGGCCTTGAATAGTAGGCTGAGAAGTGAGTTCTGGCTACTAGGTACGACATATATATATATATATATATATATATATATATATATATATATATATATATATATATAATGTCGTACCTAGTAGCCAGAACTCACTTCTCAGCCTACTATTCAAGGCCCGATTTGCCTAATAAGCCAAGTTTTCCTGAATTAATATATTTACTATAATTTTTTTCTTATGAAATGATAAAGCAACCCTTTTCTCTATGTATGAGGTCAATTTTTTTTTTATTGGAGTTAAAATTAACGTAGATATATGACCGAACCTAACCAACCCTACCTAACCTAACCTATATTTATAGGTAAGGTTAGGTTAGGTAGCCAAAAAAAGCTAGGTTAGGTTAGGTAGGTTAGGTAGACGAAAAAACATTAATTCATGAAAACTTGGCTTATTAGGCAAATCGGGCCTTGAATAGTAGGCTGAGAAGTGCGTTCTGGCTATTAGGTACGACATATATATATATATATATATATATATATATATATATATATATATATATATATATATATATATATATATATATATATATATATATATATATATATATATATATATATATATATATATATATATATATATAAATATAAATATAAAAATAAAAATAAATTTTTGATTGGCTTGCAAATGTTAAACGTGTTTTTGTCTTGAATATTTTGCTGAAGAATTCTTCCTACATTAATTGTCTTGTTAGTTATCAGCTGTTCATGGTATGGGTGCATTATATAAAGTGGGAAGTAGGATGAAAAAAAATTAGGGGTAAGCTACAAAAAAAAGGGAGGGTGGTAATGGATAGACTTGTCCAACATCTTGGGTTGGATAGTAGTGTGACAATCTCGCTTCTTGCTGGTCAGCGTTCAATCCCTGACCTTGCAATTCATTGGGTACCATTCCCCCACTCCATCTTATCCCAAATCCTTATCATATTATCTCTTCCAAGTGGTAAATAGCCAATGGCTTAGTGCTTTCTCCTGATAATTACCTTATCTATGTAGATGCTTATAAAGTGTAGTTTACCATTGAGTAGTTTGGGAGGTTAATTTAAATACAAAAAACAGGCATCCCTTAACTGCCTTTCAGTGAAAGAGGTGAAGCTTTAGTTTTCTGTATTTATTCTAAAAGATCTATTTCATGTTTCAGCTGACAGTGAAAGGCTACGATGACAAACAACACGTCCTATTGGAGAAGATTATGGAGTGCATGACGTCTTTTACTGTCGACCCCAAACGCTTCGAGATCCTTAAAGATGCTGTATATATCATTTATTACTATTTAATATTTGCTTAACTTTATCCGTAGTACGAGTTATTTAACAAATTGTAGTACGTTGAAATTCTATTTGCTGCAGTCCAGCATGTATTCATAATGGAAACTTGCCTAAAATAATGCAAATCATACATGACTGATATACAGTACATAACTTTACCATTATGGATGGTAACATTAGATCTCCAACATCTGTTAATATTAAAATAGAAAATACATGGAAAACTAGCCATTAAAAAAAATAAGGAAGCAAGGAAATCTTAAAATACATAGAGAAATATTTTTCTGGGGTGACTGCCCAGAGTTCATACACTGATACTCTAGGGTCAAATCCATCACACCCGTACCGTTGATTATCTGACAGCCTAATGGGGTCAGATACCATTGTCCTCAATAAAGAGGCAAGGGAGCTGATGAAGTTTTAAAACTCTACACACACACACACTTGGAGAAATCCAGACAAATTGACCTCTGTACAGAAATATTTAGTGTGAACGAGTACCAAACAGAGACTGGGAAATATCCCACCTGCTCAAATTACCACATAGTGCTTTGAGCTCCCACCATCCAGTTTTCTGCATTTTTTCCCCATTGTTGGATATCATATGTTTTAACAATCGTAACAAGTGCATCTGCCAATTACCTTGTATGTTGCATGCACATTTGATGGTGCTACATAGCCTTCCCAGCTTGGTGCCTTCTTTTGATAATTACTTACTTCACCTGTGGTTTATGGGTTAACATCCCTGGAAGATATCTGTAAAGGTTGTTTGGAAACCAGTTATTTTCTCTAATACAGACTGTTGGATGGGCTGCTCTTGAAGGGGAACTTCATTGTACATACACAGATGCCCTAATGTTTTTTCTTTTTTTTTCCATAAGAGGGGAAGTTATAATAAAACTAGTAAATACTAAGCATTTTGAATGTTGGAATTGCATGAAGTATAAGATGTGTTTATAATGTACTGTATGTGAAATTGCTATTTCTTTTAATTTATTTTTCTGGGGGGAGCCCCTACGGCTCCCCGGAGCTATCCAGGCTGATATGCTAATGTCAGACTTTGGCATCAGTCATGTGTATGGAGTTCTTTGGGCCTACCGGGGACCACAGCTAGAACCTAGCCCTCTCAGAGAGGCAAGGGGAGCAATGGCCTATAGAAGCCCCCCGTGTGGTTGGAAGCATTCTATGTCTGCCATCAACCAGGTCAGGCATCGAGAAAGGTAAGCATCCTAAAACAAACCCCTATTCTGGTGAAAATATTGCTACCAAAAGCCGAGCAAGTGGATAGAACTCCCCAAACAAAAAAGAGCAAACTAGTATGACGTCACTTGTTGCCGCGCCGCCGTCTGCGCAGCTCCCCCCAGCCCAGGAGGGGGAAGGGGGAGCCCCAGACCTACCTCGCCAGCAAGCCACACCCCAGTTTTTAAGGCTGATGCTATAGGCAGCGGTTGTGTGCTCTGGCTCCAGACTTTTATGGCACTGTGCCTTGTGTGTGGCAGCTGTTCTCCAGGGGTGCGAGAGCCAGGAGTTACTCTTCAGTACTCGGGCTGCATGCGCCTAGGGTTCCCTTCCCTAGGTGCCCTGTAAGTACTGCCCTTGGAGCTTGGGGTTACTTTCCACAGGTTCCTTGGGATCTGCCTCTGTGGGTCCGTTTAACTGCTCGGTTTTTTGGCCGCCCTTTGGGTACTTGGGTGTTTTGTCTCCCTAGTTTACCTTAGGGTAGGAGGCAGTTTTGCACTGGTAAGGGGTGCAGGGTGCTGTGCAGCTTGTTGTCACCAATCACAGCGGCCGGCTCTGTTCCTTGGGGTACGCTGTCCTCTTGCGGGGTTTTGTTTTTCTTTTTGCCTTGGTAGAGGGTTCTGCCCTACTTGCCACTGGTGTTTGGCCTCATCCTGATACTTGGTGGTGCCCCCTGCTAGGTCCCCGTGAGCATACACATTCCTGGGGTTCAGCTGTAGACAGTTTGTTTGGTAGTTTTGGGCGCCGGTTTGCAGTACCCTGCCTGGGTTTACCTGAACGTGAGTCCTCTTATAGTAAACGCTCAGGACCCTGGGAATCCCCTAGGGGACATGTTGGTCTGATGGATACAATCCCGGGGTCCCCTCCTCGCTTCATGCGAGTTTGAGGGTTGTTCGGTCCCCTTGTCTCAGGACGACTCACGATTTTTGCCTCTGTCGCACTGCCTGTTGGGTAGGTGACACTTTCGACCCTTAGTCCTGTGAGTTTTGCTGCTTGCTGGTGACTCAATTTACCCAATCTGCGGATGATCATCTTTGGGTACAGGCTACTCAGGTGTTGCATCCTAGGTTTCGTTTGTTCCAACACGCTTGGTTGGTTGCTCACCCAGATGCCCCGCGGCTGCCCCGTTTTATCTATAGGGACCCGAACTTGGGGGTGGGGGATCGCCTCGACCCCGGTTCAGTCCGCACCTCCTCGTCTTTCCCCTCCTGTGGTTCGTTCTGATCCCCCTCCCCTGCTTCTGGCCCCAAAATGTCTGAGGGTTTCGGAGTTGGGGCAGGGGTTAGTTGGTCTTGAGACTTGGGCAGCCTCGGGGGATGCCACTTCCGGTGTGGCGATGGAGGCATTCGAGTCTACTCCCCCGGCCGAAGCCTCTGGGTCTGACCAGTGGGCCCCTTTCTGTCCGGCTTCTACAGCTGTGCCGGCCTGGTCTGGTTGGGTCGGTGCTTGGGGGGAGTACTCGGCCCCAGGTCCTGCGGAGGAGGAGGAACTTGGTGCTGAGGAGGGGCTGACTTGGAGGCCTTGGGCCCCGCTGGGCTCCGCCTGGGTTTTTCTGCCCTCTGACCGGGGCTTACTGTTACAAGGAGTGGGGTTTTCTTTTCTCCCCTCTGCGTACAAGTTGGACTTGGGGTCTGCCCCTTCCCTGGTTCAGTTCCGTGTTCCCCGGGTGCTTCGGTTCCGTCTTTCCAGAGGTTTTCGGCTTCCCGCATCCAATCTGCTGCGGTGCGGGAGGCCCTTGTGGCAAACCTCTTGCATGACCCGGATTATGCCTCGGCAATGAGTTCCTCGGCTTTCAGGTTTGGGACTTGGTTCCCTTTCTGGCTCCGTTACGAGGTTCCGGAGTCGTCCTGGCTGGCGGACAGTCCTGTCTTTACCTTGGAGGCCTGGCACTCCTGCCGTTCCCGCACGCTTGAGTGGCGGGAGGCTTAGACGGTGTTGCAGGTTTTCCTGGGGGTGACCTAGAGCACCTCAATGAGTGCTTGTTTGCTCCTGCCCTTCCCCAGGATGTTGGTGTCGTTCAGCTCCATGTGCAGGTTCCCTCCCTTTCGGCGGCGCTGGTGGCCGAGGACTTGCGTGCCCGGGGCCTTTTGGCTTCGGCCTTGCTTTTCTTTTCCCTCCTCGAGCTGTCTTCGGACTGGCTCACTGAGGATGTGGAGCGCTTGAGGCTGTTCCTGGTTATGGCGCCTTGGTCTCGTCGGCTCGCTTGTTGGCTGCCTTGCTGGAGCTTTTCGCGCCGATGTTGCGGGATGTGGTTGCGCTGTTTTATGCTTACCGGCTCGTGTGTCGGCAGTCGGTGCTTGCCTCTTCTGTGGAATCCGCTTGGGCCTTGGCTCTTAGGATGTCTTCGCCCTTTTGTCCTCTCCTGTTTGAGGCTTCAGCCGTTGCGCAGTATATTCAGGCTGCTTCGGCTTCTTGCCGTCCTATGTCGGACTTGCTGGTTCTCCAGGGGTCCCGTGGTGGGCCTTCCCGTAAGGGTCATGCCGAGGCTTGGGGTTCCTCTCGTCGTGGTAGGCCACTGGTGTCGGATTCGGGTTCGGCTCCTCCTCCTGACCCGCCTTTGTCTGGTCAGCGCGGTGTTCGCTCTGTGCAGGGTTCTGGGTCTCGCGGTTCACCCCATTGACAGGGCTATGGGGGGGAGGCTTGCACTGTTCACTCACGCCTGGTCCCACGATTCGTGGACGTTTCAGGTCGTTTCATGAGGCCTCCTGTGGCGTTGGGTGGCCCCCCACTCTTTGGGGGGATCGGGGCTGGTGGGGCAGGCCTCTTTCCCTGCGCTCTGTCAGGTCATCTTGGAGAAGATTCGCTTGGGTGAGGTCAAAACAACGACGTCCCTCAGATGGGTTTCCCGTCCCGAAACGGGACTGCGCCGACCTGCGGTTCATTCTGGACTTGTTCCGTCTGAACCCCCTAGGTTCATTGCCCCTCCTTTTGCAACCCGTTCTCGCAAATTCGTAAAGTCAATATTGACTTATCAACTACGTGCATAGGTGATATACTAAACATAATAGATACCCCTAAAAAGATTCATAGAAAACACCGACCTTACCTAACCTTGTTAGTATCTTAAGATAAGCATCTTATTGCTTCGTAATTACAATTATTACTTAACCTATACCTATTATAGGTTAGGTAATAATTGTAATTATGAAGCAATAAGATGCTTATCTTAACACTTTGAGGTTCCACAGACTGATTATCTCGTCACTCATTTTTCTACTGAATGTGTTCCAACGACGCAATACTGAGTCACTCATTAAAATATTTTTTAAAAATTTAAATTTTATCAGATCAATCTTGTAGTTGTTTTAAAATAAGCGCCTTTAGATTGCACACAATTTGATACCAAAATCAAAGATATAACATGAAACTTGATGTCCAAACACTTGAAATATTATAAATAGGCCTATGGTCCGAATATTAAAATAATTGTTAAAATTCTATTTATTGTCCTATTATCTTGGGACTAGTTTTAAAATGCGCGCCGTTTTATTGCGAACAATTTGATACCAAAACGAGCGACGTAGCACGAAATTTGATGTTATCAAATTGAACGAGTTGAACATTAGGTTGCAATGTACAAAACGGTGCTCGTTCACGGGTAACTTTAGGCTTTTCTGCGGGGAGGCACTCCAGCCTTTTGTACATTTTATTCTTACACATCTGTAGGGAATTTAATTGCGAACACAATGATACCAAAACGAGCGACGTAGCACGAGAATTAAGGTAAAAAAATGGAACGAGAATGCACATGTTACTGATTTTGTGCGTTTTTGCCGACTTTACGCTTTGCTGTTGGGAGTCACGCTAGGCTTTTGGACATTATATTTATACACACCTGTAGAGAATTTAATTGCGAACACAATGATACCAAAACAAGCGACGTAGCGCGAGAATTAAGGTGAGAAAACTGGAATGAGTATACACATTTGGGTGTCACCGCGCGCTTACCCGCACGGAGGGGCCACGATCCCCCTGTCAACCGCGAGTTTCCACGGAGCGCGAAAGTGTTAGGATACTAACAAGGTTAGGTAAGGTCGGTGTTTTCTATGAATCTTTTTAAGGGTATCTATTATGCTAAGTATGTCACCTATGCACATATTTAATAAGTCAATATTGACTTATTAAATTTGCGAGAACGGGTTGCCTTTTGGATGACTACGCTGTCCCAGATTCGGCTCCTGTTGGAGCTGGGCGCTTGGATGGTGTCCCTGGACCTCCGGGACGCTTATTGACAGGTCCCGATTCATCCGGGGTTCAAAGATTGGCTCGGTTTTGTTGTGTGGCATCAAGGTTACTGCTTTCGTTGTCTCCCTTTCAGGTTGAACCTGGCTCCTCGCTTGTTCACGCTTCTTACACGGATCGTGGTTGCCCGTCTGCGTCTGTTAGGTGTTCGGGTGTTGGCCTACCTCGACAACTGGCTGGTTTGGGCTCCCAGCCGGTCCTCTAGTCTGCTGGCCAGGGATTTGGTTCTTTCTCAGCTTGCCAGGTTCATGTTTTTGGTGAACTGGAGGAAGTTCCATGTGGTTCCCTCCCAGGTTCGGACATGGCTGAGCCTTGTGTGGGACTCTTGGACCGATTCCTTGTCTCTTCCTCCGGAGTCTCTCCTGCGGCTTGGTCCCGCATGCGCCCTTTTTCTGGGGGGCTCGAGGGTCTGTGCTGGAGCCTGAATTTCGCGATGCTGGTCTACCCACCGGGTCGGGTTTGGCTTCATCGGCTGTTCTGGTTCCTTCGGAGACGTCCCATCCGCGTCTTTCGCGATCGCTGGGTTCGGACCCCTGGGGCCTTGCGTCGGTTGCAGAGTCGCCGGCTTTCTCTTCTGGTTTTTCGGGGTTCAGTGCCTTGGCTCCTACCCGAGCCCTCGCTCGAAGTTTTCACAGACGCGTTTCTCGGCTGAGGCTTTGTGACCAGTGCTCACCAGGCCGGCCAGGGACAGTGGGGGTCTGTCTTTCCATTGAGCTCACAGCACGGTGCGGGAATTCGCTGTGGTGTGGTTTGCTCTTCAGGTCGCTCGCAGGTCAACGATCCGGCTCCATTCGGACTGCTCCCCAGTGGTTCATTGTCTAAACTGGGGGGAAGGGGTTGACGCGGTCCTTGGCTCTTTGGTGCTGGTCGCTTCAGGTGACTCGTCTGCTGAGTTCTCGGGGTTTTGGCTCTCCTGGCAGTTCATGTGCTGGGAGTGTCCAACATCTTTGCCGACGGCCTGTCTCGTTTTGTTCCCCTCTCCACGGAATGGACGGTCGACGCCGACTCCCGTTGGCTTTGCCAGACGCTCAGACACCCCGAGGTGGACCTCTTCACGTTGGCTTGGTCGCTGCGCCTTACCCAGTATGTGGCGCCCATCTCCGACTGCAAGGCTGTCGGGGTCAATGCCTTTCAGCAGGACTGGTCGAGGTGGGAGATTCCTTTACCTCTTTCCCCCAGATCCACTATTGCTCCGCTTCCTGACTCGGTTGGAGACTTACCAGGGGAGAGTTGTCTTCTTGACCCCTTCTATAGGCCATTGCTCCCTTTGTCTTTCTGAGGGGGCCAGGTTCTGGCTGTGGTCCCCGGTAGGCCCAAAGAACTCTATACACATGACTGATGCCAAAGTCTGACATTAGCATATCAGCCTGGATAGCTCCGGGGAGCCGTAGGGGCTCCCCCCAGAAAATGGGGGTTTCATTACATTCAACACTGGCCTTTTTTCAATTTAATCTTCAATGAAGCATCTTCATACTTAAATGCTGTTCACTTATTTAATTTATAAAAACATGACAATAGCCTTTCATCACAGCAGTAGAGCAAGTCATCTAATATTTTACTGTACTTTGACTTATCATTTTACAGTACAGTGAACTCTACCCAAAAGGTTCAAATCATGCTAGACCCCATTATTTTTTAGCATCTTATTTTTGTTTTATGTTTTTTAATGTAAGGTCTTGGTTGCTTCCCAAGAGAGCATCGGAGTCTACTAAGGGTACTGCTCACACACTAGGCTCTAGTCTACTTTTCCCACTGTTAAAAGAAACATATCTTACCACTTAGTTGAGAGGGTATCTAATGGAGAACTACCTTTATCCAACTGCTCACCATAAGTCAAAAGAAAAGAAAAATGAACTGCCGAACACTCCTTCAAACGATTATTGGAACAGTTAATTAGTTCCATACCTCTCAGGTAACTGGATTACCCCTGACCACCACCAGATAGCCACCCCAACTGCACACGAGGGTCAGAGAAGGGGTAGCACTCGCATCTTGCTTGCCGTTCACTCACTTCACACCCAGCTCTTCTGCCTCAATTCAGTTTAACTGGCTGGTTAAACTGAACCTTTAGACTTAGTCTCTATTAGACCTTTAGACCTCTTAGACCTTTATTCCTTTAGACTTAGTCTCTACCCAAGGATTTCATTGTTTTGTGTTCTCTTCACTGTGTGGTGCCCAGTCATTTACCTAACATTATTTGCATGCTGATAACCTCATTTGACAGCTTATATGATTGACTATGGCTCTACTACATCATATATGATTTTCATACTATTAGATTATTTTGTAACAAGTTAGTCTTCTGCCAAACTTTGGTGTCTAACACTTCATACCATTAGATTCTCATCAGTGCTCAAAACATTTGCAGAAGAATTCAGTCAAGTTATTTGTATGACTGTAGGACTTGTTTTTAAATAAATTAATAGCCGCAGAATGATTGGTGAGTTTAAAGTGATGGTAATTCATTAAAACACACTAAAAAAAAATTAACGACTACCAAATTTGATTATGGTTAATAAAGTGAACTGAATAATTAGGTTTTGAATAAAGTAAAAATAAAGCCAACAATGACAAATATATACAAACTTTTTTTTTTTACTGCCAGGCCAGGATGGAAAATAAATCAGACCCTTGTACCTCCATTTATCAACACAAATATATTCTATACCCATTCTTATTCCCTTGTCCTGGGTTTCCCTTATTTTCTTCTCATTTTTACCCACTTCTCTGTACAATCTGTAGTGTTCTTTTTCTTTAAGGCAAAAATAAGTATTTTAGATTTCCCATTGAAAATATTTATTATAAAGTAGTTCATATTAATATGAGAACAATGTATATTACTGCTTCCCTGTCGCTTGTTTTAATGGTGTCCAGCTGCTTGTAGGGGAACGTGTGCAGCAGCGTTTGTACATTACCCTCAAGGTAATAGTGCGTGTACCTGAGAAGTTCAGGCATGTGGATTCAGTTTCATCGTTCTGTTTCAGTGTTTTACCCATAGGGATATGGGTATCACGTTCTTATGATTTGATTGTAGACAATAGTTTTACATAATTTGAAATTTTATAAACAAATTAGAATCTGCTCATGAGCATGTAACTCAGCTTAATTATATTTATTTCTGTGTAGTGTTTAGTTATTACTAGTTCTCTTGTAAAATAGTATAAAATTGCAGTAGCTGATATTGTGTTTGTATCCAACAGAGATGACAGTAGAGAACTTGGAAGCGTTTATTCCTCGCTTTTTGTCCGGGCTTCATATCGAGATGTTAATTCATGGTAACATGTTAAAGGATGCCGCTCTAGCTCTTGCTGGCACCATTCAAGAGAAGCTGACAACCAAATCTGGCACGCGCCCACTTGTACCTTCACAGCTCACACGACAGAGAGAATACCAGTTGAGGGATGGCAAGTATGCATGTGTTTGTGGAGTCTACAAGAATTGAATCTATATTTACTTGAAAATCATTTTACATTTTATGTCTGACTTAAGTCATTCCTAATGTACATGCATTATAATTATTATAATTATTATTTTGGAACTATATTGTATATTTATATTTTAAATATTGCCATTTTGCTTTGAGTCTAGAGAAGAGAACTGTCGTACCATTAAACTGAAGTGTAACCACCTGCAATTTGACTTAATTTTTTTTTTTCCCCCAGGGTGCAGCTTGGTATACTTGGCTGATAACAATGTTCATCGCAGTTCTTCTGTTGAAACGTACTTCCAATGTGGGTTGCAAGACACCCATCAAAACATGCTGTTAGAGCTTCTCTGCCAGATCTTTGCTGAACCAGCCTTTGATGAACTAAGAACAAAAGTAGAAACTTCAGTCTAGTTTGTTTTCCAAACTTCCTATTCTTCATCTTATTATCCACGTGTAATTAGAGAATGAAATCCACAAAAACATTTCAGATTATTTTATAAGATACAGCAGTTGATGATCAGACATAATTACAAATATTTTTATCTTCACTGCAATTTTAAATCAATTGAATTAGAATTTCACAAGTATAGTTTTCAGAGTTTCCGTCATGTTTCATAAATGTCTTTATATTTATTCTATATGCTATATGAGAATTTCAGTATTCACACCCACATTTTTAAAATGTGTACCAGCATCGCATTGGTGGTAAACAGATAATTCTAGCTAGTTAAAACTAGAACTGGTAGGACCTTTTAGTCATTTGAACTAGTTTAAATTATAAACATTTTAAAATTAAATGTAAATAGCCCATGCTTTTGTGTCAGCCATTAGCAGTTTTATAAATGCATTTTTTGTTTATGTATATAGAGAGAAAAAACATTGTGTATTAAGGGTTACAAATATAAATACTTTAAATATGAATGAATAGACTAAATATGTTACTTTCTTGTAGAATATTACACAGTAAAAATGTTTGCAATGCTGTGTTTGAATGTCAACTTTGAAAATAAATACAGTACATTATTATATGCTTTAATGGTAAAAAAGCTACATACCCTACACGATATTTTTTCAATTTGTATCTCTTGACGTGCCATTGTTTTGGAACACACATTTTTCCTTGTGAAATTACTTTTTACATATTCTTATCCAGATATTGCAGCTAGCCATAATAGTTGAAAGGGAACTTACAAAATTTAATGATAATTGTTTATGCTTATTTTGCTATAGCTTAAGAAAACTTGAAGAGGGACAGATAGAAACATTCTGAAGTTTATATAGATAAGCCTCTGTGAAGGTTTAATTTGAAATCAATCTTACTGTGGGAGAATAAATAAACTCATTTACTTTGCTGTGACAATAGGTTGTGGATGGGGGATGCATTTACTTGGCTGTGACAACAAGTTGTGGATAGAGATTAATATGCTTTGCCACTTACCCTTAATGGCATAATCACCTGTAATTTTTGGTTTATATGATTTTTCACTGCTGTATTTCATTTTGTTTAATATATTACTCAGGAACAGCTTGGGTACATTGTGTGGTGTGGGATCCGACGAGCTAATGGTACCCAAGGCCTACGAGTCATTGTGCAGGGAGACCGCCATCCAGAGTACTTGGATTCCAGGATAGAATCATTCCTGCATAAGATGGGAGTAAGTGTAATGTATTTGGTTAAAATACCAGTATTTTACTCATTGATAAATATCATTTGTCTGTTTCTTAATTATTTTTTGTCTTTCTGGGTAGTTTCCTTTGTTTTGGGTGGATCTTTGCCCCAAAATGATATCCCTCATCTATTCGAGTGAACCTGATTCTGGTCCCAGTTTTCTGTTGTATAGGAACATTTTGAAAGTTCCGATACATTCTTAGGAGCTTTATTGTAGCAAAATAACTCTATTTTTCCCAAATAACTTTCAGGTTTTGTAAGACTTATTAAATTCTGGTATAAAATTAACTTATGTTTGTCTTTCATTTTCAGGAAAATCTAGAAAAGCTATCTGAAGATGACTTCTTGCGTCATAGAGAAGCTTTGGCAAGCCGCCGTTTGGAACGTCCAAAGAAATTGTCACACCTTACTGCCAATTGGTGGGTTGAAATTACGTCCAATCAGTATCACTTCGATCGTGATGTCTGTGAAGTGGCACATCTCAAAACTCTCACAAAGCAGAATGTGGTAGATTTCTACAAGGTAAAAAAAAAAATAATAATGAGCTTAAATATAATTAACACGTTGTTGTTAGAATTATATTCAACACAATTTCAGTTAAAGCATAATGTTAATATTTGAGGGAAGATTTAGTCACATTATTTTTGCAGACCATAATTAGTTGCTACATAACTAATCATAAGTTATGACTTGCCCCTGTCTGTATACTCTTCACATCCAAATCTATGTGCTGTAGTTTATATTTTATAAGTTTACCTTTTAGACTGCTGTGCCTGTAATATAATATTTTATGGAAATTCTGCCCTGTGCGACTTGTAATGTTGCATTTCAGCAATTTTTTTAACTCGTAAGGCTGCAAAACAAAACAAAAAATATTCTTTTGTTCTTTGTGTGTTTATTTTGGTCCCGTCTTACTTCACCTTTAATTCTTTTTACGTTTTTCTTCTCTTTGTTTACTTGGCATTTTTCCTTCTTGTAGATAACGTGTCCAGGATGGGCCCTTATATACATCTATAAGTTATATAAAACCTTCTTATACCAACAGCAATGTATTGCAAGCACAGCAAATCAGCGAAAGAAGCTGTCAGTGCAAGTAGTGTCTACAGCTCCTGGAGGAGCAGGAGACCCAGAAGTTTCTCGTCCACCCACAACCCAGCCCGATGATGGCCTCTCCCGTCCACCTCCACTCAGAGAGGTAAATATTATACCATTTGTTATTTGCACTTGGGCAATGCCGTGAAATTTTATTTAGTTTTATACTTCAAAACATTGAAAAAATTAACTTTTATACATTATCTAATAGGTGTTTGTTTTTTTTTTTAAATACAGATTTTCACATAATCTTGACTGCCTCTTCTTAAAGTATTTGTTTTAGAAATTAATTCGTGCTTTTTATTGAAGCATTCTGACCAATCCCAAATCCTTACCAACATATCCCTTCCAAGTGCTATATAGTCGTAGTGGCTTGATGCTTTCTCTTGAAGATTAGATACCCACTTCACAAATTTGAAAACAAAGTACTGTATTGTAATTGACAATGTTTCGGTCCATCTTGGACCACAATCAAATCAAATTATTTTACAACAGGATAAATTAAAAAGTTAGGTTTTTTCTCAATTTGTGGATTGGATCTATATAGGTAGTGTTTGTGGATATTTCTAAAAGACCCAACCACTTAAATTGGTCAACACAGTGATGACCTTGCTTCTAACAGGATTTGCATTCAGTCCCCAATTTTCAAAATAGTTGGGCCCTTTACTCCATTCTATTATAATAATAATAATAATAATAATTTTTATTTAGGTAAGGTACATACATAAAGAGATTTTACAAAGTTTGTTGGCTTAATAGATAGAGCTAGTACATACAATGCCTAAAGCCACTATTACGCAAAGCGTTTCGGGCAGATAATTTATCATCATCCTGCATCCTCCATCATTATCTCATCCTGCACTGTCCTCATATTCTTTCGAATGCTGTATATTTATTTGCTTAGTGTATCCATACCCTGTAGAAGGAAGCTGAGAGTCTGATAAATAAGATTCAGAGATTTGAAGTGCATTTTCCATTTCAAGGTGCTAAGTGTTGCCAATTGTCTCTCCAAGGAAACTACTGTAGGAAATGAATGTTTAATCAGTATTCAAAGTTAACATATGTATCACTTCATATGTATTTGTGTAAATTGCATAAGTGCATATATTTTATAATTGTCTAAATTTTTAAAATACTGTACTTTCCTCCTTGCAGACTGAGTTGATAATGGACATTCCAGAGTTCAAACAAGGATTAGCCTTGTACCCGCTGATGAAACCTTACTTGCCCCTCTCCAAGACTTCGAAGTCCAAACTGTAACAGTGCTGTTGTTAAATATGAAAATTGTTTTATCATCTTAAATTCTTGTTGATTATTTCAACGTGCAATGTATTAGTACGCTAAATATATTGAAAAGTAAAATTTTGTTTTGTCTGTCCATTTTAATATTAACAGCATTTCTGTATTTAAAAAAAAAAGGCACTACGGGCTCACCATAGCCCGTGCTACTTGGAACTTTGTTCCAGGTAGCGAATCTTTAACAACAACAACATTTCAAAAGCATAATTTGCTTGTATGTGCTCAATGATCCCTTTTTCTGACCTATGCCTGATGCTAATCTATGCCATTTGCTGACCTATGCCTTATGCTGATCTTGATCTTATGCACAACCCATCATCCTTAAATTATAGTACTTTTTGTAACTATGTAGTCAGTCATACCAATATGTAGTAATGGAGCCCAAAAAAAAAACATTTTTTGTACTATTTTTATACATCCTGGAGGAAAGGGGGGGGAATTCTCAGGGGGAAGGGTACCAACCCATTATGACTATATAACCCTGGAAGGGGTCGGGGGGGGGGGGGGGAAGAGGCATGGTTCTCGATCACTTGGAAAGTCGGGGATTGAACACCGACTGACTGAAGTGAAGAGAGACCGTCGCTCTACCATCCAGCTCAAGTGGTACCATCCACCCCTAACCTAGATAAAACCTAAAATCAAACTTAAATATTCCTAGGCCTTGTACTATAGTAGGACTCATAGGGTGTATTAGCAACATAAATGTAAAAACTTTTCAGGCTTGACCATATTCAATATAAGACTACAAAGGTCTACATTCTAGTGGTCCATCACGATATATTTGTACTTTCGACCACATAGTTATTATGAGTACAGTACTTTCATTTTAGGAGGATGGGTCGCCTGTCAAACATTTGGTGACACTGACATGAGACGCTGTACTGATGTTTATGCAGATCTTCATGCTGACAAAGACCTTATGGTCTTACTTGGCTTATAATGCTACATTTATTATGAAATCTTTATACTATGTGTGATGATCCTTTATTTTGTGCCCTTGATGTATAGTGCTGGGGGAATTATGCTTGTTTCTGCCAGCAGCGGTTAATTGTGCACCACATGACCAGCCTGTGACTGGTAGTTTAATGTGTTCCCTATACTTATGTGTGTGGTAGTTGACTATACATTACATACTCATCCTGGGAGTGATATTTTACTGTGTACCCAGTGCTCATCCTGTGAGTGGTAGTTCATGCACCCCATGCTCATCATGTGATGCTTTCTGAGTATGGGGAGAGAGAGGTTAGATGGATTGGATAGGCTTGAATATTTCTGATTAGGCCAAACAATTGCATAGTTTGTGGAGTATCAAATCGAGAGAACGAGCTGGGGGGTATATAGGGTGTCACAGTGGTGGTGAACATTTACTCACCTAATTGTGTTTGTAGGGGTTGACCTTTGGATCCAAACTTAGAATCAGGTCCCTGAGCCTATTTGGCTCTTATTATATTTACATTTGAAATTGTGTATGAAGTCAGCCTCCATAATTTCACTATTTTCGTGCATTCCATCTGTTCACACAACAAATTCTTTCTAATGTGTGTGCATGGCTCATATGAGTGCTCAGTTTCCACTTGTGTTCTCTTGTCAAATACAGGTACTGTATCATCCATGCTAAATTGTCTGTTCTTGTCAATTCTCCTGAGAGCTTGGTATATGGTAATCATGTCATCCAGCAATGCGAGGTTTAATTCCTGTAGCTTTTCCTTGTAACTCATTCCTCTTAGTTCTGGAACTAGTCTGGTGATATACCTTGGAATGTTCTCCATAATGCATCAGTATATTCTAAGATTGGCTTGACATAGAAGGACCTGAACAACTCTTTATTAAGTTTTGTTAAGATAGCTCTTATTTTGGCCAACATGGCATACTCAGCTGGTAGCACTGAGGTAGCCGAGTGGACAGTGCGTGGGACTCGTAATCCTGTGGCCCGGGTTCAATTCCTGATGCCGGCGAGGAATAATGAGCAAAGTTTCTTTCACCCTGATGCTCCTGTTACCTAGCAGTAAATAGGTACCTGGGAGTTAGATAGCTATTACAGGCTGCTTCCTGTGTGTGTGTGGAAAAAAAAATAGTAGTTAATAACAGTTGATTGACAGTTGAGAGGTGGGCCGAAAGAGCAGAGCTCAACCCCTGCAAACACAACTAGGTGAATACAGCTGGTGTTATCCTTTTGACGTGGGGCTTCAAAAGACGGGTTTGGTGTGATATCAACCCCTCCAGGTTTTTTTCTTCTCGAATTCTTAAGGATTTTATCTCCCATTTTGCATCTTATTCCTGGCCTACTATTCTCTATACCTAGCTTCATTAGTTTTGCACTTGCTGGGGAGTTAAACTAGTAGTTATTTGTTGAACCTATTTTTTTTGTTTTCAATTTGTTCAGGTCATCCAGTAGTTTCTTGTTAACTTCCTTCGTCATAATCTTCATGGTCTTTTTTCTTATTAGCAAACATTGAACATTGGAAGGAATGAGTATTGCCTCTAGAAGATCACTTGAATATTTTTAAAACTGAATAGATCAGAGTACTAGACCCTGCAAGATTTCTAGTGAAAATACCGACGCTATAAAATCTCTTCCCTCACAATGACTCGTTGTCTTCTGTTGGTTAGGTACTCCTTTACCTACTGGAGGACCTCCTTTTCACTCTTGCTTGCTCATCAACTATGTCAATGGCATTCTATTACTTCAGCCTTTGTCTTGTCTAATTTCTCCCCCAGTCATAGAAATCTATTAAATTATGATACAAAGTTTACCATCTGAACCCATGCTGGTGGTTTATTTAAAGTCCCTTCTCTCCAGATGTGCTGCTAGTCTCGTCCTCGCAGTCTTCTCCGTCACCTTGCATTGTTTGCTTGTTAGGGACACTGGCTTGTAGTTCAGTGCCTCCAGTCTGAATCTCCCTTCTTGTATATTATCACTACATTTACAGTGATGGTATGGTGAAGTGGTGTGTGTGATGGTGTATGGTGGTCCGTCAGTGTATATGGTATGCAATACATTGAAGATTTATGGTTGTAGCAGTGTAGTATGGTAGCTGTGTATTCATTGTTGCTAGCTGTGCTTGCGGGGGTAGAGCTCTGCTCTTTTGGGCCGCCTCTCGACTGTCAATCAACTGTTGCTAACTACTAAATAATTTTTTTTTCCACGTTAACACACACACACACACACACACACACACACACACACACACACACACACACACACACACACACACACACACACACACACACACACACACACGCACGCACACCAGGAAGCAACCCATAACAGCTGTCTAATTCTCAGGTACCTATTTACTGCTAGGTAACAGGGGCATCAGGGAGAAAGAAACTGCCCATCGTTTCTTGCCGGCGCCAGGAATCGAACCCGGGCCACAGGATTACGAGTACTGCACGCTGTCCACTCAGCTACCAGCGCCCCTAAGGCGCTATATGTGTATGTTAGTGATGGTGTATACTGGCCAGGCGTATACCATTATTATACCGTATTAACCATTGGTGTACTGTGTGCGTGTTAGGGGTGGTGTATGGTGAACATGCATATCAGTAGTGATGTATGGTTACCGTGAGTGACAGTGATGGTGTATGGTGACTGCGTGACAGTGGTGTTACTCTTAACTATATGCTTGAGATTGAGACAGGTTTTACTATGCTTTACTAAAGCGAATCCGTACCCGGAGTGCAGCAGACGATATGGTCACAGGAGTCTGCTACTGCGGGCAAAACAACCACCTGTGGAATCAATACCGATAATTAAGAGAGGTCTCGTGCTGGGGTCGTTAGCTAGTACGGAGTGTCGCCTGGCGACCTGCTGGGTGGGCGGTGCATGGAGGTATGCTGTTTTTCTTCACTCCCGCTACTTGCCTCAACTGAATCTCGGTTGCAAATTAAAGGTCAGTGGAAAAAATGTTTCATAGGACTTGTTCATGTTAAAGTCATTAAAAGCATATATCGAGTAGTGCGAGTCATGAGGGTTAGAAAAAATCCCTTCAGGAAGGGATTCACGTACGTCCCTTCGTGAAACTTCTGGTGGAGAGGTGGTCTTCAGGAGCAGCCTTGAGCGCCTGCGCGGGCCCTCCCATTCATGTTGCGCCAGTATTGACAGTTTCACAAGCTGCCGAGGGACTCGACCCCACATGGGTGTGTGTGTATCTGTCTGGCGGCAGTCTGGTTCTAGTCTTCCATGGGTGAGTCAAGAGCCCCTCCCTTGCCCATGGTGACCATTGCGTATATATCATCTGGTCCCATCCTCATCCTATTCCTGCACCCTACTACACATCTCAACTGCCTTATACAATCTCCAGAGGTAGCAAGTCCTAATGCAGCATGTTGCAGGGAGAACTCATTAGCTGCCGTTAGTGTGTGTCGTCTCCCCAATGTGAGTGCTTTTACTCGTGATCTGCGGCAGATGGTGAATTTCCACGTGTGACGGCGGGCGCTCTCTCCACACTCATGGGTAACACAAGTGCAGTCGTCTGCTTCGCTCCCAAAAACCATTTCTCCTCGCGGCCGTCTACCACCAGGTCAGTGCCCTATAAGAACATAAGAACATAAGAACAAAGGCAACTGCAGAAGGCCTGTTGGCCCATACGAGGCAGCTCCTATTCTATAACCACCCAATCCCACTCATATACTTGTCCAACCCGTGCTTGAAACAATCGAGGGACCCCACCTCCACAATGTTACGCGGCAATTGGTTCCACAAATCAACAACCCTGTTACTGAACCAGTATTTACCCAAGTCTTTCCTAAATCTAAACTTATCCAATTTATACCCATTGTTTCGTGTTCTGTCCTGTGTTGATACTTTTAATACCCTATTAATATCCCCCCGGTTATGTCCATTCATCCACTTGTAAACCTCTATCATGTCACCCCTAACTCTTCGCCTTTCCAGTGAATGCAACTTAAGCTTTGTTAATCTTTCTTCATATGAAAGATTTCTAATTTGGGGAATTAACTTAGTCATCCTACGCTGGACACGTTCAAGTGAATTTATATCCATTCTATAATATGGCGACCAAAACTGAACTGCATAATCTAAATGGGGCCTAACTAGAGCA